AGTGTATGACCTTCCTCCCCTGCAGGCTAATGAGACTTTTGCCTTTGTGGGCAACGTCACGCACTATGCCAAAGCATGGCTGAACATCTCCCCTGAGATCCGTGCCTACCTGGAGGAGGGCAGGCTGCAGAGGCGCATCCGCTGGCTCCAACAGGTAGGATGGTGCAGTGGGGACCGAGCCGGCTAGGGCTTGGGAAGTGGGAGGGAATGGGGTGTCCTGCCCCAAAGCATCGCAGCTTCTTTATGTGAAGCTCTTGGGTGGTCCTGGATGCCCACCCTGCTCTTGTGAGGACCAAGCTGATTCCCTGGTGGATGCTGGGATGGATGCTGCTTCCCCCATTACCAGGAGGAGCATTGGCTCCTGCCTGTGTCCATAGGAAGGACAGAGTACTGAGAGGCAGGATGTGTCCCAATGTCTCCCTCCCATGTCTCTGTCTCAGTTCACTGCTGACCTACACAAGCACCCAGAGATCCTGAATGTCTCTGACAATGATGTTCTCCACAACTTCCTCAATGGCAACTTCTCCCTGCCCAACGCCAGCGTCCTGCTCCAGCAGCTGGACGCCATTGACAATGCTGCCTGTGGCTGGGTCCATTTCATGGCCAAGGTAAGGTTGTGCCCTGTGGGAACATGGGTGCCTGAGCAGCACCCACTGCCCGCAGCCATGCTCTGTGGGGCTGAAGAGGGGTTAGGTCTGCTCAGACTATCTTAAAGCCATGGGACAGGAGCCCTGGAGGAGACAGTGGCTTCAGTTGAGTCATGTGCTTTGGGATAGATGTAAGTGGTGGAGGTGCTCATCCACCATTTGGTTCAGGGGCTCATGGGGTGGCTGCAGGTGCATGTGCTGCACTATCTGCAAGGACCCATGTGCTAGACCCATCGGGGCAGTGGGATCTCACCAGCCTTTCCTTCCTCTAGGTCAGCGTGGACATCTTCAAAGGCTTCCCAGATGAGGAGAGCATCGTAAACTACACGCTGAACCAGGCCTACCAGGACAACGTCACAGTCTTTGCCAGTATGTCCCCAGAAACCAGCCCCTTCACAGGATTCCCTGAAGCTATGTCCTCCAGCTGTGGTGTGGGCTGGGGCCACTGGCACTGGGACATGGTCCCTTGGTGCATGCGTTGGGTGGATGAGCAGATTCAGCATCTCGCAGTACCCATCCTCAGCCCTGGCTGAGCCCTGCTGTGCGCAGCACCCTGCTGCTGTCCTTGGTCTCCCAATGCCACTGCCCACGTGCCCTTGTAACCCATGCCAGGAGCATGCCCACCCCGCCTCACCCATGGCAGCCCTTGTGGTGCCCTTTGCTGGGACACGCTGAACCCCTGCACATCCCTGCCTGTGACTGCCGTGGCTGTGTCCCGTGGTGTCAGCAGGCTCCCTGCCTCTCCCACTGCAGGTGTCATCTTCCAGACCAACAGGGATGGGTCACTGCCTCCCCACGTCATGTACAAGATCCGGCAGAACTCCAGCTTCACAGAGAAGACCAACGAGATCCGGCGGGCATACTGGCGGACAACCCCCAACACCCGCGAGCCTCCTCATCC